ACCACGAACTTGTCCTCCTCAGCGATTACACACGGGTGGTGTGGACCTTATACCCGCGAGCTCCGACATCCCGGGCCGCGCTCAAACGCACCCACCTGCCACTCGCCACGTCCCGCGTGCACCGGCTCGCGCGCTCCGATCGCGCCCGCACGCGATCGCCGCGGCCATGCAGTGCCCGACGCAGTCCACTCCCCCTAAACCTCGCTCAGAGATGTGCAGCCTCGCGCACACACGCGCTGGCCCGCACACACACACGCCTACACGCACGCACGCACCCAGGCTCACTCTGGCTCGAGCCCGACACGGCCACCACGCGCACACACGCGCTCGCCGTGTCCGCAGCCTAGCTGAGGCTTATATGCCCTACATTCTGCGCCTGCGGCGAGCGGAATTAGCGCGAGGAGCAGGAGAGCGTGAATAATAATCATGGAGGAAGAGTAGGCGCCGGGCATGCAAGTGGCATGAAGGCTGAAGAAAAGTAACTGGTTCACACCTTGATTCTTTAATCCTGCAGCTGAGAAATGTGTGGCATGTGCTATATATGCATATCAGTTTTGTAACAGCTGACTGCTGAGAAATGGTCTACCTTTAGGCCCCGCTTGGAATCCCTATAGAAGTTTTACATCCGTATATGAATACCGCTGTATATTACAGGAGATTTGTAAAATACAACCGGATATTCCCACATGTATATGCTGCGCTTGGTTCGTCGGATTTTTGCTTGTTTCGGAGAGTCTCTCCCGTGCGCTATGCCGTTGGTTACCAGAAGAACGAGCGCCAGGCGTCGTCACAGCGCGGCCACGGACGCAGGATCCTGCTGCAGTGGCGAAGGTAATCCGGCGGCAGCGGGGACGTCATGGACCGGTGGTGGTGGAGGCGGACGTTGGGTGCTGCAGCGGCGTTTGGTTGCAGTGGCGGCGAGCGCACGCGCTCCGGCAGTGGCGCAGACGCTGCGGCGCCGTCGACTCGAAGCTCGGCGGCGCGCAAGCACCCATGGTGGTGGCTGCGGACGCTCGGCGTCAATGGCGGGCCGTGGTGGTGGAGCTGATGCGGCAGGACTGCAGGAGGCGACTGTGCTGGTGACGATGGTGTCTCCGGAGAACGGCGGCGGTGGCCTCGGCGTGCTCCGGTTGAGCCGTTGCGGCGCTTACCTCGGCTGTGGCTACCTAGTCAATCACGACCGAGCAAGAACGGCGGAATACCAGCAACTAGGAAAAACGACGGACATAGCAGTGTTTTGCAAACCGACGGAATACCAGCGATATCCAAGTGTAAAGTGAAACCGGGTATAAAAGTTACGACGCAAAAACACCGATCCAAGTAGATCGTCCGTTTTATTTTTATGGGGGTATACTTTACACGTGTAGATGGCTGGGAAACGGCAATCCAAGCGCAGCCTTAGTATTTCTACCCGGTTCCGCTCCATTTTCACACTACTTGTTTCATGTTTAATTAAGGTTTCGCTTACATCCGGATGAGTTGCCCTTTTCGACTCTGTTTCCCATTGGTGCGGCGTTGTATTGACTCTCTCAAGTGCTTTTGTCTTGCTCTTTCTCAACGTTGAGAACCAGCAAGTGCTCTTTCTCAAGTGCTTTTCCATGGTGAAGATAGTGGTGGAGAATGTCATGGCGGCTAAGGTCTGAGGTCTAATAACGGCGGACTGAGTCTTGGAAGCAATGAGGACTTTGCTTGGTGTTTCTTGACTTGTAGCAGCGGCATCAGCAAGCAGGGGAGGCAGCACAGGAGGATAACATAG